GTCAGTGCGTTTCTGATGACAATACATTTGGTCTCGGCGAATTTGATGGCTATCAATATGATGTTGTTCCTGATTTTGTCAATCAAGTGAATCAAGATAACGCGCTAGCTGACCAAACAGATTTAGGTGTCAAAGCAAACGAGGGAGTTACTGATGGTGTTGATCATGGTATTCGTTCTGCATTTTATCTTTTTCTGTCTGATTTTTCTTTTCTTCATTTTGAAAGTTTTTTATTATTGGTTTTCTCTATCTAAGGGGCAGCAGGTGATGTCAAGGGTGATACATTTTGGGATGACATTGGCAATGAAGATTTAGTTGCGCTACAGATGTCCCAAATTGTGCTTAACAAACCATCCATCATAGACGTAGAAGAGGATTACATTTCTCCTGAACAGTCGGTTCGACAGAAAATACCAGGAAAATATGCCAAATCTCCATATTTGCCAGTTTTTGATTCGGGGGCATCAGGATCGGCGCACAAGCTCATTTTTTATATCAAGCATCCTTTCACGATCGAAATTGATAATTTTGATCTGTTGTCGCCATTGGCTAAAGAGTTTTGCGCGTTTGTTGATTATGGGATGGATATGAGGCGAAGGTATATTAACTTTCTTCAATCTTTCATGTTCTGATTTTATACTTGTCAATGAAGGTAGTTCTGATTACTTTTTATTTTTTGTGATTTGAAGTGCCAAACATATATATACCGATGAAGTAAATAAGCTTGCGGAAGCTTTTACTTTTGGCTCGTGTCATGTGACCACGAAGGATTGGTTCCACTCACTTGCGTATTGTGATCGACCTTTGATTGACACGGTATTTAATAACTTTCTGTTCTAATGCCTTTTTTTTATTTGTTGCGTATCTTTATTGTTTGAGACCCCCATAGTGTATACATAGCTTTGACAGTATAAGATTGTATAACCTTGTATAAATATGTATAACTCTGTATAATAGCGTATAAATTTCTATATTTAAAAAATCTAGTAGTGATGGTTGTTTTGTTTTATTTCTTGTCTCAGCACTTGGATGTCCTCTTTTATTATTTGAGGAAGAGGGGAAAATATTGGCCGAATGTTGCCATGCGGTTTACTACAACCGACTTTGCCTTGGTAACAAAATCAACTCCCTGTATAAAGATTTCAAAGTGAATCAAGATCCTTCAGTGATTCCTGAAGGGCATGAGATAGAAGAGTACATTAGAGGATATTATTGTGATGCAAATGAACCGTGGCACACTGTTGACCACGTCTTATTCCCTATCTATGTGAAGCGCGAAAGAGCAAAATTGGGCTATTGGTTTTGGGGTTGTTTACGTTCATAGATAGGTGCATCCATATCTATGACTCTAACCGTGGAGCTATTAATGATAGACTTGCTTTGGATGCTGCATTACCTTATGCAATTCCGATACCTTACTTCTTGAAGAGTTTTGATTTTTATGTCGAGAAGAAGGGCATTGATTGGAACAATGGTGCATATACCGATAAATTCCATTCTGATGCTTTGCAGATTAATCTGGTTAATAATGTGCCCCATCAGATTAAATGGTAGATTAATCTCAATTATTTTACTATTTTACTATTAGTGTACCTATTTACAGTAACGTACAGAGAATCTGATTTATTTTTAATTACTGTGATTTTGGTGCTTTTGTTGCTGGCTTTCCTTAGTATTTCATCCTTGGTAAGGAAATTCAAAAAGATAATTTTGACATTGAGACACTTCGCACCAGGTAGGGATCTCTGTTGTGGGATTATGGAAGGAAAAAATAGCAGTCAAATGCAATTAGTGGTGATGAAATCACAGGGAGACTTTTCAAGAAGAGGAAGAGGGGACGACCGGGAAAGTACTTCTGTTTTTTCCATTTTAATGTAGTTTTGCTATTTATCAGGAGTTGTTGTGAGATAACCTTAAAGTATATTATAGATGTTTTTATTCTTGCGTAGTTTGTGGTAGTCATTACACATTGTGGCTGTGAATGAATTACATTTTAATGAACATTTCAGTTGCTTTTGTCCTTTAACAAATTATGTATTTTTATTATGGTTGCAGTTTTGTAATGTTGCAGGGTTTATACATATGTATACATTAATATACATAGTTATACAATTTTATACAAACTTATACTTTCATTTATACATCTGTATACATATAATACCATTGATTGTTTGCAGTTCTATTTTGTAGTTGTACAATCTATCAATATATTTAGCACCATTAAAAACAGCAACACACTATTATTAAATAATCAAAACATGTATAATGAAACATATTTAACATAATTATAATATACAGTGTAAATTGTAATTCTTTATTGACATTTGTAACTCGATTGCTTGTGAAACTTAACTACTCAACATTTGTAACTCTATTATTTGTGAAACTTAACTACTCAACATGACAACAAATGTAATAGGAAGTGTTATGTTTCCAACTATTTATTTTGGTCGATTCCTACATGTTTTTCTATTGTGACCACCTTGTCCACACACAGAACAACCATTATCGGTCTGCAATGCTCCCGGCCTTTGATAGATGCATATAGCGAAACATATGCATAAAGAAAGCATACATCTTCTGATTTGTGCAACTTTGTAACCGTTCCTGGATTTGTATGCTCCAACATATAAAAATACTTCGGCAACTCCTTATATGAATCACTCGGATTCCCTCTCATCATTGCCATTGCTATCTCTTTAGCCCTCCATGCTTTCATGTAGCTCACTTCAATCCCGTGTTGCTTTTGTATGTCCTCTATTATATCATTTGCGGTGTAAACTTTTTTTGGATTAACATACTTGTCCTTGACTATACTAGCAATTACACATGAAGTAGCTTGACGTTGTGTTAAGTATCTTTCACCATATCCGCATGTGTGATTATTATTGTAACTTCTCACCTTGAATATGTATGCCTTGTAAACAGCAGAAGATTTGAAACTCCAAGTACAATTGTCATCCACACACATAAGGTGATACCTAGGATTAAAGATCATTCAACTTCTAAATACACTTGTATACAAAAACATAACTAGATATATACTAATTTTAATATCTATATATAAATATATACTACTTTATACATATATATAACAGAATATACAACTAGTGCCATACCTTGTTGCGCTAGATCTCTTCACCTTGAATTGGAACCTCGCGTACAGCCAAATTCTTCATCACAATGACAACTGTCTCTTTATCTTTATAAACTTGATCTTCCTCAACAAATTCGTTCAACATATCATCTATTATACCCGTATTTTCACTAAATTCCGCATTTTTAATAAATTCGATATCAGGCATAATCTCAGTGCTATCAATTGTGGACACATCTATACAATTGGAACTGAAAGCAACCAAACAACTAGAACTTGTACCAACCAAACAACTGGAACTTGTACCAATCAAATGATTATCATAAATCTCTTTCACCGTCACATACAACGGGTATTCAGTGAAATTCAAGTTTATCTTCTTTAATTCCATATACACCTTAACACCCATATCGTTACAAATCAGGATCGGTGGCAAACCATCCTTTGGGACAAAGTTAATCTCCAATGTGTTTAAATCACAATCGATTCTAATCTGTTCCGAAATAGCTGTAACTAAATTGTTGTAGCTGAATGTCGACTCGATTATTACACAATCGCTGACGAAATTGATAAACTTGTTTTCTTCCCATTCACCACTATGAAAATCGTAAACTGGAAAAAGCTCCATCGAACAAAAATTTGAAATCAAAATTGCAGAAAAAATGAAAATTGCACTGATTGCAGCAAAAAAAAAATTCACTTTCGTGTTTGATTTGCTGTTAATTCGAGATGAAGAAGAATTTCTAGGGTTTTTGGAGTTGCATTGACTGCAAGATCGCGTTTTTGTAGATTTGGGGAAGAAGAATGGAAAGAATGAGAGAAAATCCCGCTGAAAGATACAAAATCTCGCTTCTGAGTCCCAAAAAACGGAAATAACGCCCCTTTTTCTGAATATGGGCCTGTTATTTTTGGGCTACTCAATTGTAAATTGAAATATGGGTTATAAAATTGAAAAGGAGGCAGCCCAATTGTTTTAATATGAAATTTTTCCAATATTTACATGTATTTATATATATATATATATATA